TTTGAATAACAAATGATTAGAATTCAAAAAGAGAATTCTTTTCCCGAGACAAAAAAAGCATCAAGGTCTTCATTAGAACTTTAAAGCTGCACTAACTCACTTTGTGACATTTTAGAATGTGAGCGCTGGCCTCGCTTTTTTGTGCCCCCCACTACCCCCCTCCCCCTCAGCCGCACATGTGCTGTTTACGGAGCTCACGTCTCACAATATGGTTTGCATATTGAAAGTGGATGGCGTGACCATACGATGATAGAACCGGGAAGCGCGGGGAGACTTTCTTTTGGATGGATGTTTCGCTGTGTAAGCAGTAACCGGTAACTAAGACACGGGAAGTTTCAGGTTAGCCTCCGCCGCTTGTTTACCTCTGCTGTCTGTGCTAACAAGAGACCTGTAGCTTTTCTCAAGAAAGTGGGGGCCAGTGGTCCGCTGTGATTGGTCACAATCTGGACCCGAAACACATTTTCTTCCTTTTTGCACAAAAACTCGATCTAAAATAAAATGTCACGCCAGCACAAACCTGCGCTACTTTTACTTCAAAAGGACGTACATCCCAATGCACTGCAGGGATATGGACTGAATTTAACTAATGAATACAAAAATAAAGTCAGGTAATGCAGCTTTAAGTACCGCAGTTAATTAATGTACAGAGAACACATTTAGCTCTTTCTCTCTCTCTAGTCTCTCTCAAGTCTCTTTCAGATTTCTCTCAGGTCTCTCTCCCTGGTCTCTCTCCCTGGTCTCTCTGGTCTCTCTCTGGTCCCTCTCTCTCTCTCTGGTCTCTCTCGGGTCTCTCTTTCTAGTCTCCTGGAACTTCCCCAAACCCCGTCCGGTGAAGGTGAAACAACCACAGTGTGAATGATGTCTTTAACCACCGCAGCTAAACATAATTAATGTGAGAGAACTCTTTAATTAGCGTCGCTACCTCAGAGACGTTATCTCTGTGTGTGAACAGAGACGGGAGAGCGGAGGTCACTGAGCCCGTGTGGAGCAGGGAAGTGTTCTCTCTGGTCAGAGAGAGAGAGAGAGAGAGAGCGAGAGCGAGAGAGAGACCCCGGGCAATTAACACCTGACCCAGCGCTGTGGTGGATCCGCTGAAGAGGACACTGTCAGTCCTGAATCTACAACCTCAGTTCTGGGTCTACAGCCTCAGTCCTGCACAGCAAAATCTATAGCGTTCTTTTTTCAGTGTTAATAATTTTGAGTTGGTGGGTGTTGATTTTGGTGTTGTTTTAACACTTGTTGTGATAAAAAAGCTCTGTGAGCATTGTCAATTAAGCGAGTGAATTGTTTACACCTGTGACTAAGTTACATTAACTCCTGGCACAGTTGATTTCAACATCCTGTTTGGGCGTGGCGTGCGCAACCCGCCTTTTTCACTAGACGACGGTTGGAAAAAGAAGACGGAAAAGAAAAAACTTCTGTGGATTGTGTGGATTATATGGCATATAAGAAGGTAAGAACCGAATATATTTACGTCTACAGGATGCTAATCGCTGTATGAAGTTGTTATAATAACATATCATGGCTTGTAAAGCAACTGAATTGTCATTGAAACTGGTAGAGGCAATTCACGAGTTAGGCTACTCAGCGGTAGCCTATTTATCCGGCCAAATATCAAGTGTTAAGATAAAATTGATGTTTTAAAATGTATTGAGGTGGATTAACTAACGTTAAAGTGAGTGTCTTGTCAAACGTAAACTGCGCAATAATGTGGGAAAGGGGTGGTGGTGGTGGCGGCGTTGTCGTCGTCGTAGTTTTCTGTTTAATCAGGCTCGGACATCAGTCATTTCGCTATCGCTCACAAACACACTACCAAGTTACACATTATTTGGTTAAAGTGTTCACACTCACAAAAAATTAGGGCTGGGCGATTAATCGATTTTAATCATTAATTCGAGTTTTACGTTTAGGGCGATTTCTTTTTTTAAAAATTCGATTTTTATTTTCTCCAGCGCAGAACTACAGCGCTAACGCGCTAACCGCGGGCCTATGGTGTTGAGCAGTCATTTTGAAGCTAACCTAATGCTAACAGTCTCCCTCTGGCCTGATGCTCGCTCTCACAGTTGGTGTTGTTGCAATAACACTTCAAACGTTCAAGAATCAGACTTTATTTAATCGCCAAAACACACACACACACGCACGCAAGCCCCGGTCGCTATGTTCGTACGCCACATCTTTCACGCTCTCACGCTCGTTATTCCAAAGCGCACTCCCGTGTCCGTGGCGCGCACACACTCGTGTCCCACTGAGCCGCTGCACTTTGGGGAAAGACACGTCTCACACATTGCTCTCATTGCTCTGATACAAACAACGTGTTCCCCGCTGTCTGTTAGCTACAGTAGCTGCTACAGTAGCTGTTAGCTACAGTAGCTGTTAGCTACAGCATCAGAATGTAAACAGGAAGCTCGCACAATGCGGGAGTCACTGAAGTTAGTATTAGCGCCACCAGCTGGACCGAGCGTTGTACTTCAGCACAGTTACTCAGGCACAGTTGAAAGAACAAGCATGAAAACCAGAGGAGGCTTTTGGAAAAGACTGTCTGTTACAACATTTCTATTTTGAGTAATCAGTTTTAAAAATGTGATATTTCATGTTAATATTGCATGTGTTTAATAGGATTGATATATTTGCGATGGGCCTTGTTTGTGTGATTTAAGTTATTTTGAAGGTGCATAGTGTCATTGTAAGTGAAGTTATTATAAAACTGTTAAGCTACATTTTCACTGTTTACAATGGCACAGCCATCTCGTTTACAAGCATGTTTTAAGGCTTAATTCCTGTTACACTTATGCTCCATGGGGATTTAGATTAAACTGCATAAAGGAAAATCTATTTCTTTGTCAGTTGTAGTTTGTTTTTAACTCATTGACTGCCATTGACGTGTTAACACGTCAAACTAAATAGTAACGTTGTCTGCCAATGACGTGTTAACACGTCAATTGCGTTTCCCGCTATTTTTACGTTCCCAGCTGTCCATTGAATCTAATATGTGGAGATTGGCTTGAGGCAATACTTTATGGAGCCAGCAGATGGCAGCATTGCGCTATGAATGGTTTGAACACAGCTAGATGCACTGTTTGTGGCCCTTTTTTCTCAGCTTTCTGGTGATTTCAATAAAACTTCCCTCTACTCAACTGGGGATTACAGAAGAACTAAACAAGATAGAAACAAAATTCTTTTTGCTGGTGAGAGTAGACAGCCCATTCTTTCAGAATCTAGTTTTAGATTTCAGATAGTCAAAGTACACAATATTCTGTGGGTCTTGAAAAATCAGTAAAAACCACCAGAAACGGCTGGCAATATGGGAGTACCTGTTTTGAAATGGGCTGGCAGTCAATGAGTTAAATAGAAAAAAATAAATCGATTAAAATCGAATTTGGTGTGAAAAAATCGGAGATTTTTTTTTTTTGCCATATCGCCCAGCCCTACTAAAAATATACCGTTTGAATCAGGCAAGGCGCATGCATCAGACAGATGAGATGATATTTGGGGCTCTTTGAAGGGAGTCGTATCTTATGGCTCTAGCCCAGGGGTCACCAACGCGGTGCCCGCGGGCACCAGGTCGCCCGCGGGCACCAGGTCGCCCGCAAGGACCAGATGAGTCGCCCGCTGGCCTGTTCTAAAAATAGCTCAAATGGCAGCACTTACCAGTGCTATTCTTGTTTAAATCATACTTACATGCAACTTACAAATGGCATATAAACTAGAGCCGGGACTTTAACAAGTTAATAAAGATTAATTAATTACACACAAAAAAGCGCGTTAAAAAAATTACGCATTTTAATCGTATGTATTTTTGCACCGCGGAACGTTCCTCACTGAATAAGTTTCAGACGGACCAATTGAACTGACGCACCAACCGGAGCTCCGTGACTTTTCTTGTTCAAAAGTACATTATTACAAGCAGAGACCAACTTTAAATTCGAGTAAATTAGACGGGAATGAGCGCTGTGTATGGAGCGATGGACTCTGTGCGTGAGGAGGAGGAGGAGAAGGAGGAGCGAGACACAGGTGTGTGAGATGCTAATGCTGATGTTTACTCCGAATGCACACATCAAAAACGTATTATAAAAGCTTTAGCAAACAGCGCATGCCCAGCTTTAGTGCTCACAGCGTGTGCAGTGGATTTTGGGCTTAAAAAGAGTATGTTGTCGTCAGTGTGAGGAGGAGGAGGAGGAGCATATGTTGTCGTCAGAGTGTGGAAGCAATGACAGAAACGTTATTTGATGTTTAGAAGTTATCCCTTAAACTCCATATTAACATGTGTTGCTTAAGCCTCATGTATTCAGTCATTATTCAATGGTAAACTAAAAATCCATGTGAAAAAAAATTACTTCTCACTGTTCTCAGGTCAAATATTTATATGCGATTAAAATGTGATTAATTGCGATTAAATGGGACTGTCTTAGAAGTGATCATTTGTTAAATTTGAAAAATGTGCACTTAGAGAAAATATAAAAGTTTTTCCACAAAATAAATATCATTAATTATTAGTAAAAACATAGAATTAAAGGTAAATTGAGCAAATTGGCCATATCTGGCAATTTATTTAAGTGTGTAACAAACTGGTAGCCCTTCGCATTAATCAATACCCAAGAAGTAGCTCTTGGTTTCAAAAAGGTTGGTGACCCCTGCTCTAGCCTATTCTGTCCAAGAGCCCTCTATTTTTTGTTTAGGGTACACAGTCAATGTAAAGATGATGAGTAGCCACCAATGGATATTCATGTGGAGACTCAAATAAATTAGTTTCCCTAGTTCATAAAGAGCTGTTCAAAAGAATTGTCACAGCGGACATCTCGAAATGCCCTGCTCCATTTTGAACGTTAAAACATGTTACACTTAAAAAGAGATTCAGTTTGTTTTGCTTGAGTGCTGTTTGTTGCATGAATTTCTCATAGGGACCACATCTGTCTCAGTCTTAAAAATTAAAACCTGATGAAGTATGTTTAACAGCCACATTTCTCCACTTATTCTACAAGGTGCAGTCTAAAGATGTGGCAATGTTGCTCAAGGTGAAGTACCAGAATACCAAGAAGTACATCCGATTACTGTCAGAGTTCACCTTTTTGGATTTCATTGCTAAAGGTGAGTAGCCATCTTAAAGTTACCTCCACAACAAATAAACACAAGCATTCACAACTGAGCGACAGTGGCTCAGTTGGTAGAGCATTGGCCTTTGAGCCTGAAGGTTGTGGGTTCGAGCCCACCACAAGACCTACTTCACGACTCCCACTGATGACTGCTGTCGTTGTGTCCTTGGGCAAGACACTTAACCCCACTTTGCCTGAAGCTCCCACTAAAAGATCTCAGCTCCTGTGGACTCACCACCTGCAGGAGGATCAGTGAGGGGCTGGTGCTATGTGAACTGGGTGCAGCTCTGACTGCCACCCCCCCGACCCAGAAATGGATTTAGGGGAAGAAAATGGATGGATGGATGGATGGATGGATGGATGGATGGATGGATTTATGTATTTAGTATGGCTATTTTGGTTTTCATTTTGGGTATCAATTATACATCTGTTTTCATGGTTATCTTACAGTCAGATACAAGTTTGGGCTTCCTGATGCTACCAAACTTGACGTTTTTGATGAAACCAACACAGTAGTCGAGGAAGACATCTTTTCTGAACTGATAGAGGCCAGTCCAGATTTATGCCTGACAGTACGTGACAGAATTCCTGATGCAGGTAGGTAAATTTCTGTTTTCCATAAATCAATAATGCTTTATAATCATATTCTTTTCTTCATCTTATATTTTAATAGTTATGTAGTTTTTTGTTTTGATTCTGATCACATGAAATCTACTAACCCTAATTATCCAGCTCAGACACCGGCGCAAGACATCATTCTTGAGATACAGATTGATCCTGGTCCAAGTGCAACGACACAAGATGGAATTTCAGAAGAAGGTATACAGTCTAAAATCAGTTGTAATCAATGTTCAAGGTTTTTCTGCTTCACAAAGTTGAGATGTCATGTCTCTGCCTTGACTACTACAACAGAGTAGATCATAAAAAATGATATTTAAAAGAAAGATCTGTATCTAATTGCAAAAACAAACAACAAACTAGTGTCTGGGAAACCACCAAATGCTAGATTTCAGGCATGTCACAGTTATGTTATTTCTTTCAGACTTCTCTCCTTTAGATCATTCCACATCAACCTCCCTCACGGATACCGACACATCACTTTCAAGTGACAAAGACCATTCCAGTCGAATAGAACATGGGATTCCCATAGGCAGATGTACATCCAGCCAAGTCATACCCAGGCCTAACACAGAGGTCTCTGAGTCAGAGGCTGCAAAAGAGGTACTGAAGGGCAGCAAATGTAATTTACATTGTTGATCATCAAGTGTCATGCTAAATCGGTTTCTCATCAGAGTATTTGTGACATTTAAAAAGATTTAAGTTTCGCTAATAGCTCTGTACTTGGATAAAAAAAAGATGGCTTCATCTAGGGCTGGGCGATATGGCAAAAAAAAAAAATCTCCGATTTTTTTTCACACCAAATCCGATTTTCGATTTTAATCAATTTATTTTTTTCTATTTAAAAACAAACTACAACTGACAAAGAAATAGATTTTCCTTTATGCAGTTTAATCTAAATCCCCATGGAGCATAAGTGTAACAGGAATTAAGCCTTAAAACATGCTTGTAAACGAGATGGCTGTGCCATTGTAAACAGTGAAAATGTAGCTTAACAGTTTTATAATAACTTCACTTACAATGACACTATGCACCTTCAAAATAACTTAAATCACACAAACAAGGCCCATCGCAAATATATTAATCCTATTAAACACATGCATTATTTACATGAAATATCACATTTTTAAAACTGATTACTCAAAATAGAAATGTTGTAACAGACAGTCTTTTCCAAAAGCCTCCTCGGGTTTTCATGCTTGTTCTTTCAACTGTGCCTGAGTAACTGTGCTGTAGTACAACGCTCGGTCCAGCTGGTGGCGCTAATACTAACTTCAGTGACTCCCCCATTGTGCGAGCTTCCTGTTTACATTCTGATGCTGTAGCTAACAGCTACTGTAGCAGCTACTGTAGCTAACAGACAGCGGGGAACACGTTGTTTGTATCATGTGTGAGACGTGTCTTTCCCCAAAGTGCAGCGGCTCAGTGGGACACGAGTGTGTGCGCGCCACGGACACGGGAGTGCGCTTTGGAATAACGAGCGTGAGAGAGCGTGAAAGATGTGGCGTACGAACATGGCGTACGAACATAGCGACCGGAGCCTGCGTGCGTGTGTGTGTGTTTTGGCGATTAAATAAAGTCTGATTCTTGAACGTTTGAAGTGTTATTGCAACAGCACCAACTGTGAGAGCGAGCCTCAGGCCAGAGGGAGACTGTTAGCATTAGGTTAGCTTCAAAATGACTGCTCAACACCATAGGCCCGCGGTTAGCGCGTTAGCGCTGTAGTTCTGCGCTGGAGAAAATAAAAATTGAATTTTTAAAAAAAGAAATCGCCCTAAACGTAAAACTCGAATTAATGATTAAAATCGATTAATCGCCCAGCCCTAGCTTAATCATAAAATCATATTGCGCTTGCATAATCAGCTAAACAATTGGTTTCGATTTTTGCTAAAATTGGTGATCCATTTTTTGTAAGAAACCTTCTTGATCCAGTTATTTGAACTTTTACTCTTAATCTTGTGGTTTATTTTTAAAATGTATTCCTGAAAGACTGATTTGTACACTGAAAACTTATTTTTTCTAACACGAATAGATGGTAAAAAATGCCTTGCTTTGCAAACCTGGGGGTGAGGATGTCATCGAAGAGTACAATGCAGAAAAGTCGGTCACTCACCGCACCCGGAGACAGCTTGTCAACATATTGGCTAGCCATATGACTGAGATCCATGGGTGAGTGTAAAGTGAATTGTTAGATTGTAAACATTAAGAAAAATTATAATGGATTTTCAAAATGTATTGCATTGCATTAACATAGCAAGTGGGTGACTGATTTGGAATGTTGTTTCTAAAGGAGGATGCCTTCCCGTAAACATAAGGAGAAGTATGCCCTGGGAATTATCACACTCTTCCCTTCACTAAAGGATCCCTTTTCCCCAAAGGGCTATGTAAGTTGTGTGTTGTATGTAAAAATCATCAGTGGTTTGGGGATTTTAGTTCAAATGATTGCTGATCAGTTAATGAAAATAGTGTTGACATTCTTTCCTTCTTGTATTTGTAAAAAAATAACTGACACCACCTAAGTCTAAAAAAATATATAGTTTAAACATGGGTTACATTTTCAAATATTGCTACAAAGTTCCACTTTTCTCTGTCTTGAAATCAAAATGAATTCAGTAAATAGGATACTATACATGAATTAAAAAATGGTAAACCTACTTTAAAGGGATTATCCTTTTATTACCATAATAATGTTAAAGCAAAGGAAGGTTTCTCACCCATCATCTGTACTTCTTAGCAAGTTTTCCCGACGTTTCGTCCTCAACCTGGGGACTTCTTCAGGGAATGAATTCTCGGACCGCGGGTTGGAGATTTATAACCTATGGGTGTGGTAAGCCACACCCTAATCCTGATACTAACTCGTAAACAATCTACGGTCTGCTTGATGTAGAAGGGAGCAGGTCTAACGACCCTGCTGAGGCTAACGACCCTAACTCATTAGCATGTCACAGACCTATTGTCTGCTGGGATGCTCAAGTGGAGTGCAGGTTTCACCCCTCCTAACTCATTAGCATGTCACTGACCTTGTCCCAAGTTAGGGCGTTGTTTTTAGGATGTCGTCATAGATGCGAGGCAAAACAAATCTTAACCCTCCTCCTCTGTTAAGAGAAGGTTTTTGTTTCCTCACAAAAATGGCTTCTTTCACCCCTCTCTTTTTTTTGTGCCATTTTTGTGAGGAAACACAAAAAAAGCCATTTTTGTGAGGAAACAAAAACCTTCTCTTAACAGAGGAGGAGGGTTAAGATTTGTTTTGCCTCGCATCTATGACGACATCCTAAAAACAACGCCCTAACTTGGGACAAGGTCAGTGACATGCTAATGAGTTAGGAGGGGTGAGACCTGCACTCCACTTGAGCATCCCAGCAGACAATAGGTCTGTGACATGCTAATGAGTTAGGGTCGTTAGCCTCAGCAGGGTCGTTAGACCTGCTCCCTTCTACATCAAGCAGACCTGAGATTGTTTACGAGTTAGTATCAGGATTAGGGTGTGGCTTACCACACCCATAGGTTATAAATCTCCAACGCGCGGTCCGAGAATTCATTCCCTGAAGAAGTCCCCAGGTTGAGGACGAAACGTCGGGAAAACTTGCTAAGAAGTACAGATGATGGGTGAGAAACCTTCCTTTGCTTTGACTAATCCCTGTACGACTGAGGGCTTACACAAACATAATAATGTTACTACTTTTCTTTTTGTAATGTTTTATAAATATCTTAACAGGAGCACTTCTATGATGCGGAGAAAGGCACTGGATATTTAGCATGGCGCCTTAAGACTATGTCCAGGAATACTTTAAAAAGACCAGCCAAGACGGCTACAGTGCCTCTAGCACAAGGACCAAAGCGCAGAAGACTAGCAGCCACTTTGCCTGAGCAACTTGATGGAGATGCCTGCAGGGAAGCCATATCTTTTCTCATTCACTCTCAGGATGAAGCAAGTGTTTTTCAGAAGATGAAGATGACCTTTCAATATCGCCAAGACCTAGTGCATGACCCACAGAGAACCACAGATGTCTTTAAAACATTTCCACGTTTTTTGGATGTCAAAGGGCTGGTGAGTTGTCCTTTTCATTTATTTACACTTCATGGTTTTTTGCTTGAATGTAGTACAATACTCTAACATTTAAAAAAAAAAATTGTATTTAGCTGAATCAAGACTTCTTTCTGCTGTTTGGAGCTGAAACATCCTCCAAGATGCTTGAGAAGTGGGATACAACTTTCAGGCCCAAGGTCATCAATGAGGCAAAACACCTGACTCAGTCAGTTGAGCTGTGCCGACTTCAAAAAGCTGCTGAGAAAACCGCAGAGAACGATGACACCAGTAAGCTAATTGACATGATTGATTTTTATTTTATTTTTATTTGTGTATTCTAACTTAATACTAATGGCTTGTTTCATCTCATTTTCCTCCTGATAGCCTGGGCCAGTGACATGGCTTCTTTGCTGCTCCTTCTCCATCTCCTACCACCCACAGCTGGACGGAAAAGGACAAAGATAAGCCCCAGTGATGCAGTGAACAAAATGTTGCACTTTCACAAGGTATGCAAGTTTTTTTTTTTTTTTACATTTTATATCCAATTAGCGGGTATTTTATATGTATTAACTCAATTTGAAATGACTTGGAAAGGCACAGTCAAACAAAAAGACTAGACTGAATGTCCTCACGTTGAGACACACACACACACACACACATGGCTTGTTAATAATTCAACTTTTCTGATGCACAGATTCAAGTGAGCAGTTGAAAACTTTAGTGTAAGGGGTTATCTTTCTGTTTTCAGTCATGCTGCAGCTTGGATGAACACCTTCGTGGAAGAGATGGCAGACAACCTTACATCCTTGCTGTTGGTCGAACCAGGAACAGGATTGACACTTTCTACATTGTTGTGGACAAACAGCTCATCCCCTGCCAAGCGACTACCTGTTTGGGTGCGTTTGATGAACTGTTTAAATCCCACTATGTGTTCAACCTGTCATACGATGAGTGCCTTGGCCAGCTCTTCACATTTGTGCAAACAACAGTCTACAATATCGACATAGCAACAACAAATGAGTCTCCCAGTGTTCGGGAGTTACGTGCTAAAGTCCTCAATTGAAGTACTGAAATGTTTAAGTGTTTCATTTGTCAGGCTGTGCATGTTCCCTGCCAGTCTTTGATCTCTCATCTAAGGCTTGATCACAGTTTTTATCCTAGCACCAGGTTTAAGTTAGTTTGTGCACAAGATCGTTGTAGGCGTCAGTTTTCAACATATTCTGGTTTCAAAAAACATTTAATTAGTTCTTATGAGAAGGATTCTTGTCAAAGTGGAGATGCAGCAATGCCAGAGTCATTTCAAACTAATTTCCACATGCTCCAAGATACCTCAGAAGTTGCTGGAACAAGTGCCATGCAGAACCCAGAAGCTGAGTGTTTTGAGGACATTGGATTAGTTCAAAGAAACAGAGAACACAGAAAATATTTGCGCTTCAATTATTGCAAAACTACAAGGAAAAGGCATAGCAAGTAATGTTGTTTCATCAGTTGTTGGTGATTTGGAAGAACTTGCTAGTGGACTGCACTCTCAGGTTAAGCAGCAAGTTCTGTCTGCTGTGCCTAAAGATAATCCTATAAGAGTTACATTGAAAAAAGATCTGGAGACTTTTGAAAACCCATTCATTAACTTCAATACTGAAAGTAAAAGATGGAATATGACTTATGATCAAGTCCCAGTGAACGATACATTCATTTACATACCAATTTTGGAAACAATAAAATTCATGTGTCGAAATACTGATATTTGTAAACTTCTAGGGGAAACTTGTGTATCGAGACCTGACAGATACGAAGACTTTTATGATGGAAGTTATTACAAAACGCATACGTTGTTCTCTAAACACCGGAATTCTTTACAAATTCAGTTGTTCTATGACGACTTTGAGACAGCTAACCCACTGGGTTCAAAACGTGGTGTTCACAAAATAGGCGCTCTGTATTTTGTCCTCAGAAATCTGCCACCAAAGTTCAACTCTGCCTTGATGAATATTCATTTGGTTGCACTGTTTCACACTGAAGATTTGAAAAAATATGGCTTTAATCCTATTCTAGAGCCACTGATTAATGACATCAAAACACTTGAGAGTTGTGGCCTAGATTTGCCATTTTCTGTTGAAAAGGTTCATGGCACCATATGTCAGATAACCGGGGACAACTTAGGTATGCATGCAATTTTGGGATTTACTGAGTCTTTCAATGGACGCTATTTTTGTCGTTTATGTTTGATAGAAAAACATGATGCCCAGATTGTTTACAATGAGGATGACCCCAAGATAATCTTGCGTGGAAAGGAACTTTTTGAAATGCACTACAATGAGTTGCAGTCAGACCCACAGAAGTTATCTGTGTTTGGTTTAAAAAAGAACTCGAGTCTAAACAGCCTACAGTTCTTTCATGTCAGTCATAATTTTTCTTTGGATATTATGCATGACATTCTTGAAGGCGTGGCTCAGTTTGAGCTGAAGTTACTGTTGGAATATCTCTCCGAAAATGTTTTGTCGAAACCTGACCTGTTGTCTAGAATTTATGCCTTTGACTATGGGTACGTGGAGCGCAAAAATCGACCTACAAGGATTAACTTGGACAGTAGTGGCAATAATATAGGGCTCAATTCCATTCAGACCCTTTGTCTTGTAAGAAACATTCCTCTGCTTTTTGGTGACATTGTGCAAGAAGGAAACCAAAACTGGTTTTTGCTGCTGCTTTTACTGCAGATAATTCACATTATATTTTCTCCATCTGTTACACTTGGCATGACTGTACTTCTCAAGCATTTGATAATGGAACATCATGAGTTGTTCAAAGCACTGTATCCTAATAGAAACCTGATCCCGAAACATCACTTTATGATACACTATCCATCTTGTATCCGGAAAATTGGACCACTAATACATATGTGGAGCATGAGATTTGAGGCTAAACATCGGATTTTCAAAAATACTCTTAAAAACTTCAAAAACATCACAAAATCTCTTGCAAAAAAACATCAAATGTCTATTGCGTGTCAGTGGGAGACATCACGTTCAAAATGTATTGAGTATGGACCAATGAAATCATGTTGCATGTTGAGTCTGTATCGCAAGACATCCATGCAACTAACTGGGTTACAATCAGTGGGACAGAGTACAGGGCAGGACTAATAATTTGCAGTGAGATTGAACAGGAAATGCCTGTGTTTTGCAGAATAGAAAAAATTATTGTTGTTGACAGTGTTATCTGCTTCCTTGTAAACAAGCTTGTGGTTGACCATTTCAATGAACATTTTCATGCTTACAAAGTCTTCGAAAGTAATGACAAAGATGTTGTTAAAGCAGATAGTCTTGTGATTTATAAGCCCTTTGATTTACAAAGTGCTTATGGTGGAGATGAGAGCCAATATATTGTGCCATTATTTTCTTTTTAAATGTTTTAACTTGTGCCTGATCTTATTGTTCTAATCCCTATATGGTGCTGGGAAGTTATTCATTTTGTTTAATAAAAAATGAAAGACATGTATGTACGTATGTTTTATTACTCGATCATTGTTGCTGGTCACACATTTAAACTTTCTGTAGCCTAGCAGCTGACTGCAAGAATTTTCAGTGTCCTAAAATAACACTATGCTAAAACTAACACTCATGGTGAAAGTAAATAACACAATTTTAGTGTTAAAACGACACTTTAATGTGTCATAAAATAACACTGTGTATGTTGAAAATTAACACTCATGGTGAAAGGGAATAACACAATTGTGAGTTAAAAGTGCACTTCTGTGGTGTCATCAAACAACACCAAGGGTGTCAAATTTTAACACTATTAAAGAGTTAAAATATTAACACTTTGAAAAGTGTAATTTTAACTCAAAATCAGTGAGAACTATATAAACACGAAAAAGTGTTAAAATAACCACTATGGGAGTTAAATTAACACTCGCAATTTTGCTGTGTGGGTCTACAGCCTCAGTTCTGGGTCTACAGCCTCAGTCCTGGATCTACAGCCTGTGATTTAGAGCGATATATAAATAAATATGTGGCGTGTGTAGTATCTCGGCCTCGCTGCTGCTGCTGGAGGAGGTTTGGACTAAAATAGGTCTTTACAAACACAAGTGCAAAAAGGTCTTTCACACTTTTCTCTGTGTGAATACAGAGAAAGAATTCAAAGCAGCAGTGAATCAAAATCTTTCACTTCAACAGTCCCCTCGCAGTCCCTTCATAGTCCCCTCACAGTCCCTTCATAGTCACCTCACAGTCCTTTCATAGTCCCCTCAGTCCCTTCATAGTCCCCTCACAGTCCTTTCATAGTCCCCTCACAGTCCCTTCATAGTCCCCTCACAGTCCTTTCATAGTCCCCTCACAGTCCTTTCATATTTCCCTCAGTCCCTTCATAGTCCCCTCACAGTCCTTTCATAGTCCCCTCACAGTCCTTTCATATTTCCCTCAGTCCCTTCATAGTCCCCTCACAGTCCCTTCATAGTCCCCTCACAGTCCTTTCATATTTCCATCAGTCCCTTCATAGTCCCCTCACAGTCCCTTCATAGTCCCCCCACAGTCCTTTCATAGTCCCCTCAGTCCCTTCATAGTCCCCTCACAGTCACTTCATAGTCCCCTCACAGTCCTTTCATAGTCCCCTCACAGTCCTTTCATATTTCCCTCAGTCCCTTCATAGTCCCCTCACAGTCCCTTCATAGTCCCCTCACAGTCCTTTCATATTTCCCTCAGTCCCTTCATAGTCCCCTCACAGTCCCTTCATAGTCCCCCCACAGTCCTTTCATAGTCCCCTCAGTCCCTTCATAGTCCCCTCACAGTCCTTTCATAGTCCCCTCACAGTCCCTTCATAGTCCCCTCACAGTCCTTTCATAGTCCCCTCACAGTCCCTTCATAGTCCCCTCACAGTCCTTTCATATTTCCCTCAGTCCCTTCATAGTCCCCTCACAGTCCCTTCATAGTCCCCTCACAGTCCTTTCATATTTCCCTCAGTCCCTTCATAGTCCCCTCACAGTCCTTTCATATTTCCCTCAGTCCCTTCATAGTCCCCTCACAGTCCTTTCAGCGGCTGCTTCTGGTCTCTGTTCAGATCCATGTTCATGATTATTGGATGAAATGATGCTACAGAAAATATGGAAGTTAAATTGAAAAACCAAATCTCTCTCTCTCTTGCTCTGGTCTCTCTCTGGTCTTTCTCTGGTCTCCCTCTGGTCTCCCTCTGGTCTCCCTCTGGTCTTTCTCTGGTCTTTCTCTGGTCTTTCTCTGGTCTACCTCTGGTCCCTCTCTGGTCTCTCTCTGGTCTCTCTCTGGTCTCCCTCTGGTCTCCCTCTGGTCTTTCTCTGGTCTTTCTCTGGTCTACCTCTGGTCCCTCTCTGGTCTCTCTCTGGTCTCTCTCTGGTCTCCCTCTGGTCCCTCTCTGGTCTACCTCTGGTCCCTTTCTGGTCTATCTCTGGTCTCTCTCTGGTCTCGGCTCAGATGACTCCTCCCTCTCTGTATTCTCCTCAGTCTTCTCACGTCCTCTCACATAAAGAAATCCATTTGTCAGAGACGTCAGGGACTGACATAGACTGACAACACACGCACGGAACTAAAGGTGCTTTGACTAGGATTGGAGACCAGAGAGAGATCAGAGAGAGACCAGAGAGACCAGAGAGAGACCAGAGAGAGACCAGAAAGAGACCAGAGAGAGACCAGAGAGAGACCAGAGAGAGAAAGAGAGAGAGACCAAAGAGAGAGAGAAAGAGAGAAGAGAGATAGACTAGAGTAAGACCAGGGACAGGGACTAGAAAGGGAGACCAGAGGGAGACCAGAGAGAGACCAGAGAGAGACCAGAGAGAGACCAGAGAGAGACTAGAGAGAGACCAGAGAGAGACCAGAGAGAGACCAGAGAGAGACCAGACAGAGAGAAGACAGAGAGACTAGAGTAAGACCAGGGACAGGGATTAGAAAGGGAGACCAGAGAGAGACCAGAGAGAGACCAGAGAGACCAGAGAGAGACAAGAGGGAGACCAGAGAGAGACCAGAGAGAGACCAGAGAGAGACCAGAGAGACCAGAGAGAGACCAGAGAGACCAGACCGAGAGAGAGAAAGAGAGAAGAGACAGAGACTAGAGTAAGACCAGGGACAGGGACTAGAAAGGGAGACCAGAGAGAGACCAAAAAGAGAGCCCAAAGAGAGACA